GAAAAAGCAATTAGAATAACGGTCATGTCTAACGGTATGGGTGGTTATATACTACCAAATAAATAGAAAAACATTTTTACAGTACAAATACATAAACTCAAAACGCAACAAATAGGATATATTATAAATATTTTTTCTTTGTTTTAAAATTAATGTGAGATAAAAAGAATCATTTGCATTATAAAAATCATTTTCAAGCGAAAAAAAAATTTTTTAAAAACTACCTATACTGGGACTCAAACACGGAACCTCCCGACTTGCAATTACAGTAGAACCTCGTTTATCCGAACAGTTCGGGGAACAAGGAAATTCGGATAGTAGAGGCTCACCAGCTATCCCCACCCGTTAAATTATAAGTTTGGATGCGAGAGACTGGCGTTCGGATAACTGATTGTGAGTGTTTAATTTGTTTCGATGATTACACAATCTTTGGTTTCGTGATGGTAATAATAGAAACCGGTACGTATCAGTTTATCCAACAATATATCGTGCGATGAATCTGTGAAAAGAAAAAGAGTAGTGTTAAGTCTCAAAGACAAATGTGACATTATCAAGCGAATAAAGACGGGTAAATCAACAGTCGCTTTGCCAATTGAATATAAAGTCGGGAAATCAACAATATCTGGAATGAAACAAAATGAAACTAATATCTTATAACACTATGCAGAAAAGAAAATATACTTTGTGATGATAAATATGAAAATATGAAGAAGGTACTGTCCAATATAGAGAGTTCTGAATTGGATAGTGCAGTTTTTCGATGGTTTTACACAACAGCGTACCATAAGCACGCCAATTAGCGGCCTTATATTATGTGAAAAAGCTTTGCAGCTCAATGAAAAAATGGGATGCAATAAAGATTTTAAAGCTAGTAATGAGTGGCTTCAGAACTTTAAAGCATGACATGGAATACGTATGTTAAACATTTATGGTGAAAAGCTTTCTGCGAATAAAGACAATGCTAAAGCATTCAAGAAAACTTTATACGTTTTTATACGCAATCAAAATTATTTAGAAGATTGTATTTATAACGCTGATGAGATGGCTGGGTATTGGAGGTCGCTACATCGAAAATCGATGGTTTCGAGTGCAGAAAATACCGCGCCTGGCTTTAAAATTTGTAAGGATACGGTAACGATTATGGTGTATTTCAACGCCTCGAGTTAGCATAAGCTTTCATTACTTATAATTGGGAAATCTACGAAACCCCGATGTTTTAAGCATATTAGCAATGTTCCAATCATTTCCAAGGCACAGAAGAATGGATGGATGAATGCCAAACTTTTGAAAACATGGTATCTTTCGGAATTTATGTTTTATTATGTTATATTATGAAAAATTACATAAGAACAAAATATATCAGTGATTCTTATAGAATTCGCGTTCATATAATGATTATACTATAACCGAAAGCACGCTCGATCTCATTGTCAGTCAGGATAATAGAGGTTCACTTCGGAGTTCGTATATCTCAGGTTGGGTCGGAATTTATTTGTATAAGCGAGGTGCAGAAAGCGAGGTTCTATTGTAATTACCTTACCCATTCATCCATTGATCCTCTGTGTTAATTCGCTTTTCGTAAATGAAGTATTATATTTGGGGCATACAAAACTTTAAACCACGATATCTCGAAAACGGAAGCCCATTCTGTAGAAACTCATAAAACTTTTGTAACACTGACTGTGTTACAGCCTACGCATGGTGGTGTTTCAAAAGCGATTGCCACACCTTGACACTCCCCTTGTTAGTTTTATAATTTTATTTCTCTCAAAAGTAACGCTGTCTCCAATTACTACTCAAATATCTATTAGTTCGAATTTGTTATCAATTACAAAAAGTGAAAAAAATTTGTAAATCCTATGATATTTATACAAGATGTCCCGTAACTCCCGTAATGTCGGGAAATGGGGGGTTGCTGGGATAATTCGGAACAACTTTTTCCTTTACCAAAATATTGGTTGAAGCTTCGTTAATAATACAAAATCGAAGCTTTAACCAATATTTTGGTAAAGGAAAAAGTTGTTCAGAGTTACCCCAACAACCCCTCATTTCCCGATGTTACAAGAGTTACGGGACACCTTGTAATTACACAGCATATTCCACATGCAATTCCCCAAATTTCTGTTTAATTTTTTTTACTTATGACTATTTTGTGACTCTTTACATTTAAAAATAAAATGGGCATCCCATATTTATACCCTCTCCTCTATTATTGGTAAAATCTCCAGCAGACCAAACACATCCGCTATATATTAATCGATCCGGTTGGAGACCTCTCCTGCCCCTGTGCCATTCTCGATACTTCTTGTGAACAAAATACGGAACAGTTAAACAACATAGTAAAAAAATGCCTCTCTATTTATTGCAATAGTCGTCATATTCTGTACAGAAAACAGAAGAGTATTTCATGAAAGATCTCAATATCCCGAACGATCACAATACTGTTTACATTATTGATTGCTGAACCAAAAAGGTTCGCGGATTTTTACTTGAGATTACACAACTCCCACAGTTGCACGGATTACACAAATCCCAGTGATAGTTGAGCTTTCGCATTAGGGATCTTACGATTCCCTAGAGTAAACCCATCCCTGGGTTTATCTATCATCTTCAACTTAAATAAACGACCCTGCATCATGATAAGGAAAGAAGCAGCTTTTCTTAATAATATGGTCGCAGAAGTCGAGCACGTTGATTTTCTCGTTTCAGTGTCAAAGAAGAATACATTTTTCGCTGGTATTGTGAGGATGAGATCGCAGGGGTTGAGAGGGTGCAGGCGTAGGTGACGGTGGTCTTCCTTCCACTGCTTGAATACTCTTCATTAATTCCCGAAATACCTGTAAATCAGAGAAAAAAAACACATTTTCTTACATACTAGTAATATTATTTTATTTTTTAGAATTAAAACTTGAATTTTATTTGTTGTTAACTCTAGAAATTAATAAAGCGATATTTAAAATGTGGAAAAAAAACGATATACAGCAAAACCTGGATAAGTGCCAGGATAGATTGACCGGATAAGTGCAACGTTGCTACCCCCCATATGGGGGGGATCCCCTTTGGCGAACCGAGACGCTCTACGAGGAAGCCATGTAATATGATCCGAACCGTAATACGGTGTGACTAATACTAATTCAACGATAAAACTTTCTTATTTATGACTTCTTTTTAATGAAACTTTTACTAACACATTTGTGAGAGTGTTTTGATTAAAATGATACCAAACACGATATAGTTTGAATTATATTTATTTATTTATTCATTCAGAATATGCTGCTGAACTATTGATTGCAAAGGGTATAGCCGGATAAGATGGTAAAAAGTGCCCCCAAACCAAATTCGACTTGCTATGAACCATTCGATAGGCGATCAAAAAGAACCAGTCTGTGCCAAGTTTCGAAGGGTCACACGGGGGAATAAAAGTCATTGTATCGAATTCCAAGAATTACCTGAAACTAAGACCCAACGGTACGATTTTGAACAGAAAGAACGTTCTCGAACAAAGTTCGCTGCGAGTACAGGAATGAATATTCGAATATCGAACAATTGAATACTATTGAAATTATCAGTTGAATCATCGCATGCTATTAAGATTTTTAACGAACAACTTGCACTACCACCGAAATTCGTATTGTTGATCGATTTCTTTGCGAACAAAATGATTATGGACAAGCCAATTGTTAATTAGGGAACCTCATGCTAGCCGGTCCATTATTCATACATAATAATATAGTTCAGGTTATAATTACTCGCATATTTATTGTTCAATAATTCTGATTTAAACTATTAGTTGATAATCGCATCATTTTATATCTAATATTGGAATTATCGATGAGAATAGAACATTCCAGGAATTCTACGGCGTAGAAACACCGAAAAGCCGTTAGACAAAGATGGAACACCAAGAAAGAGAGAAAGTATGATCTAGAGGAATTTAGCTGGCACGCGCTATGATTTGCCGAAATGTCCCCACGCAGGACATCGTCCTCGCGACGCGCCCTTCCGGCTAGGATCGCGATCGATTCTGATCACTCTTCGTCGAACAATCGAGTAAGTCGTGACGGGAGCCCGTGGGTTTAGAGATAGAGTTGTCGATTGTATTTCGTTGTAATTTAGCTGCGCGACAAGTCCTACGAATTAGACAGAGTGTCGTGAGGGTGAAATTCCAAATACGCGGCAAAGACTCAGAGACGCGCACGTTAAATTCATTTCACACTATTAAAATTCTGTCTTTTCTCTTTCTTTTAATCCGTTGATCGCGTAATTCTCGTATTAAATTCAATCGCGTTAATTATTCCATTTTCTGAAATTGTAATCGTCTTGTGATACGTCTACTTAATTTTTGCAATAAACGACAACCGGGTGCGCGACAAGTGTTAGTGCGACATCAGCCTCTCATCTTTCTTGGTGTTCCAGATCTTTCAGCGATTATTCAACGATATTATAGCGAACCTCAGAGCGATTTTTGTCGTATATCATATTCTACAGTTTCACGGTAAGCCTGTTCAGTACTAATTTGTCGAGCACGGCATTATTATTCAATTTCGACGAGGCAAAACGGGCGATCTATTAAGCCCTTTTGGGGTTGTAAGTCTCTTCATTTTAGATCGTCTCGTTTCCACATTCAGGTACCGATTATAATTTATTTCGCTATCTTAATATTCCGAATTTTGAATCATCGCGAGTTTGTGTGTGACGATTGTTTCGACTACGATACTTTACCAGGAACAACCTGTAAAGCCCTTTCGGGGGTTGTAAGAGTCTCTTCGTTCAGGTCGTTACCTTGGGGCTAGAAACAACCAAAAACCTTAATTTTCTATTATATTTGGTCGAGGCAGTCGTCCTTTATTAAGAACATATATTTTTACATTTCAAATCCGGTTAATATTATATTAGAAGGTCTCATTGTAAACCAAAGGCTAAACATCTTTTTCCAATTTCATTCATATTTATATCAAACAATAGGTTAAGCATCTTTACCCTTGTAAACCAGTATTGTTTTAATTGAATTCATTTAATAGTAATTAACAGTATTCAAATAGAATCCGTTCAGTACTCAAACAATAGTTATTTGAAATTCAGTTTCTGTTAGCTTCAATGATTATTTTGAATTAAATTTACCTTTCTTTTGCACACTAAATTGTATTAATATTTCTTTCAAATTCCGTTTTGTATCATTTCCTGCATCGTTTTACATCTCAAATCCATGCACCCCAACACAAGGTTTCAAGGAGGGACCACATATGGGACCCAGAACACTGACGAACCCAACGGAAATAATTACTATCTAAATTTCCGTCCTTTAATTTGTTCTGACCGTAGAGGACGCTTCCGCGTCATACGCGGTCAGAACTGGTGGCAGCGATACCTTTCTCATCGCCCAAAAATAGGAAGAATCAAGTTCAATATTTTCTATCTTAACTATTTTTCTTCTTTTACGTTGCGCGCTCGCTCTCTCGACGCGCAACGTAACAGTTGCTCCAACGGTGTCGGTGGTTTAGCGGTTAAAGCGCCATCATTCAGCAACTGACCGCCGGACAGGTAACATCGTTCGGCAGACCCATAGTCACAGTGAGTTCCCAAGTGAATTTCCAAAGTGTGAATTATTACCATAGTGCACACCCAAAATGGAAAACAGGCAAGCGAATCGACCTCGGATCAAGGCTTTATTAATTAAATAATTACTAGGACAGACACCAACAAATCGCATAATAGAAGAACAGCACCCCAGCATGCCTTGCGGCTCCGCTGCGGGCAGCAAAACAGGAGAAAAATCCACCAAAACATCCCAATCAAACTACGAAACCATGGGTAAGGAAACTATTCCACACTTAATCATCCAAAAAATAATAGACAAAGAAAAAAGAGGCACACTTAGCCAAATGGAGGTGGAGGAGCTTCTACAAAAAGCCCCCACAAAAAAAAAATAAAACACAACACAAAAAGCAACATCAAAACTGGCCAGAAGCAACAGCATTATAATGCAAGAAACCATCAAAGAAGCCTCATCAGAAAGAAACGAGGAAACCAAAAGAATAGAAATGAAAGACCTGCTCCAGGAGCTAAAAAGTCAAAACGAGGAACTGCGTCGCCAAAACGAAGCACAGCAAACTCAAATAGTTGAGCTGCTAGAACGGATAAACCAAAGAGAAGAGCCCACCGCAGGTAGCAGTAAGGACAAGGAGTTTTATGACCGGAGAACCAGAGGCAGCCGAGCCAGCCCAAGCAACGCGAGCAGCCCCCCGCCGAAGGACACAGCTTCAAACGCCAATAAAAACACCACCAACCTGACGAAGATGCACGCAACCACAGCCAGCACCCGACGTAAATCGTAATGAAACTGAACAGGTCAGAAATAACCCCCCCCCCCCCCCCCCCCCCCCCCCCCCCCCCCCAATAATTGTATATAACCAAAGCGCACAGGCAACTATTAACTTAATTTTAACCAGCGGCGCGAAAATAACTGGCAATTTTAGAACCAAAAAATCAACAGGAAACTCTCACAACCTGTATATAGATACACTGGAAGATTTTAACACAATTATAACGATATTTAAAAATAAAAACATAAACTATTACACCTACACACCAAAATACGACAATCCACAACTCATCCTACTAAAAGACCTGGAAGTGAACTATGACAACGAGACAATTCTAAACACCCTAAATAACCTCCAGATAACGAACATGCATTTCCTAAAAGTATCCAGATTCCAAACAAAAAAATTAATCCAGCAAAACACTCAACTCCCAATATATACAGTACACTTAACGTCCGACAGTAATCTAAATAACTTAGCACAAATCAAAAAAATTCTACACCAATCGATTAAGTGGGAAAAACTGAAAAACAAAGAAATAACCCAATGCTGGAAATGCTAACGCCTTGGCCACTCCTCCTCAAATTGCAACCTATCTTTTAGATGTGTAAAATGCGCAGATACACACGAGCCGGGAAAATGTAAAATTACTACCACACAGGAAAACACAATCACACTTAAATGCGCTCTCTGCGGCCAAAACGGCCACCCAGCCTCATACAGGGGCTGCCCGTACACGAAACAACACAAACAAAACATAGCGGAGAAGCACCAAAAACAATTAGAGATAAGGAACATTAAAATAGCTAAGATACAAAAATTAGTAAACCCCTCAATCTCATATAGCCAGATAGCCGCCAGTACGTAGCCACCCCCTACTTCAAACATCCAACTCCCCCCCCCCCCTCCTACTCAAAAATCCTCCCTACACAAACTGGCACCCTCCTCTCAAGCGATAACGCACCCCACAGCCCAAACCAGCACCTCAACCTTTCCGCCAGGATCCGACTTCACACATTTCGAACCACACCAAACCACACCACCAACAGGAATTACGAACATCCTCATGGAAATAACAAACCAATTGCAAGCACTGCACCAAGCAGTACAGCTCAACACAAACAACATCCAATTACTATTCCAAAAGCACACAGTAACACCCAACCACGCATTCGATGGATAACACACCCGCACCAAACAAAAGCACACCCTCACCAATCTCAAACAGACAAATCAAAATAATAGCGCTAAACATAAACTCATTAGTATCCAACCAAAAAAGAGCCAACCTCCTGCATCTAACACAAAAACACAACCCGGACATCATCCTTCTAGGAGAAACCAAACTCACGAACAAACACAAAATCGCATACACACAGTACACAACACACAGAACAGACAGAATAAACGCCATACAAGGAGGAGGTACCGCCATTCTAATTAAAAACTCAATACGCCACAAAAAGATCCAGCTACCCTTAAGCGAAAGCAACAAAGTAATAGAAGCAACAGCAATAAAAATAGATCTCCCAAACCAAGAAAAATTAATAATAATATCCGTCTACGCCCCAGGTAACAATAAAATGGAATTCATCCCGGAACTTGAGAAACTATTCACAGACCTTAAACTAAACCGACCCAACACATACTATATAATAACATACTATACATATAAAACACTCATCTTGGAAGAACTCCTCTAACAACAGCAGAGGCAGTCACCTCAAAAAATGGCTCGATCAAAATTCAATAATATATAATGTACATTTACGTAGCTCCAACCTCCCATCCTATCCAAGCGAAAACTCCTACATAGACCTCTGCCTCCACGATTCAAGAATAAGATTTCACAGCCTCGTCGACCAAAAACTAAAAACCATACCCTTCCATAGACAACATAACTCACCTAAATACCGCACCTACAATAAAACGGCCCAACTACAACAAAGCAAACTGGGAAAAATTCAAAAAAATAGCATCACTCAAAATAAAAGACCTAAAAATCCCGCACGACAAAAACCTTTCAAACCACGAAATAGATGAAAACCTCAAGCTGCTAGAATCGGCCATACAAAACGCAATAGACAAGGCAATACCACAAACCAAATCCCCAAACTCCGCAGAAATCTTCCTAAACAAAAGAATAAAAATCCTCCAAAGAAACAAAAACTACGTACTAAATCAGTTAATCAAACTAAACAATCGCAACGATAAAACATCCCTCCTAGCAAAAAATACATTAAAAAATCTTCTTAAAGACATAAAAGCAGAAATTGGAGCGGAATTCAAAAAATCAATAAACGCTTACTGGAAAGAAAGAATAAACCAAATTGCCATAAAAGGACCAACAAACCCCTTCCAGCAAATCAATAACATATTCAAGACTAAAAACTCCTTCCACCAAATAGAATCCCTCACAATAAGCAAAAACAACCACCTCCTGATCGAAACATTCAAATTCACGCCAACACACCACCCCAATCCCACTCACAACACACTTAAGTAAAAATCCCAAAAGCACTAAAGAATACTGGTGGCTGCAAAAAGAAAATGAAACGCAAACTCATGTAACAACAACTAGTTTAAATTAGTTTCAAAAGTGTAAATATGTAAAAATTTTTCAACTCTAGAACGTAAGGAGAACAAACCTGTACATACAAAATGTATAATATAGAATATAAGATAGAATATAAGTTAAACTTTAAGTTAGAATTTAAGCTATATTAAGCTAACCAATAAATCCGGCGCCTCGCAAATGCCAAAGAAATCCTCCAGGCGCGACAAGTACTACAAAATGATCTCCTCAAAATCAAACCAAAAATCAAAGAAAGTACACACTAGCCCAGGTGCAATCATATTCTAGATCTTTAAGAGCTTACTTAGCTATAAGAATTGCGAAAATACTCATAAATTATTATATTTTTATACGTCTTTTATATAACTCAAAATCTATGTAAGTGTTGGCACATTATAAATAAACGTTATTATAAAAAAAAAAAAAAGAAGCGGTTAAAGCGCCTGACTGCTAAACTGCTGCTAGGCTTTTCGTAGATTCGAGTCGGCTCACACTGATTTCTTGTTTTTCTGTAAAATACATGTTTTTCAGTTTCGTTCAGTGTAGAAACATTAAAAATTACATAATACACTAAGTGTATAAAGGTTCTTTTAAAAATTGAAAGTGTTTCTCATGTTATCGCATGAAATATGTCGAAAATATCAGTTTTTAATTTTTTTAACTATGGCGCACCTGACCAAAAATTCTCAAAAAAATTGAAAATAATAGTATCGATAATATACACTTATAAAAAAAATATGAATCCAGATCCGCGACTCCTTTCATACAAAATCGCTATTTTTCAGCATTTTTTGACGTTTCTGATTTTTCACGGCTTCAGTTTTCAATCTAAAAATCTGAAAAAATTCTGTAATATGTGCCTCACAAATAGAAATGTCTCTGATTTTTTTTCAGAATTTTCAAATGTCATTAAATAGGAGAAATTGGCCAAAAACTTCGCGATTACATTTTTACCCGTAACTACCCTCCCAGATGAGATACAGGGTTGAAACTTGGCACAGACTGGTTTTTTTTGATCGCCTATCGAATGGTTCATAGCAAGTCGAATTTGGTTTGGGGGCACTTTTGATCATCTTATCCGGCTATACCCTTAGGTACTTTATGATGTTAGAAAAAGCCTGTGATTTCCATCAAACCGGACAGTTTCTTCCTATTGACAATCAAAGCAATTTACAAACTAACAATAATAATAGAATAATAATCAAATAAATAAACAATAATAATAGAATAAATAACATAGAATCGACACCTCGGCTGCATATAAATTATGTGTATGTACGAACGCTGAAACGATATCTCGGCTGAATACAAACGATGTGTACGAACGAAAAATCGACATCTCGCGTGAATATGTGCAGTGTCCGGACAAAAGACACCACGACTGACAAGGGGAGGGCACGGTTAGAGAATCATGGATTTTGACGAGCTTGGACACTGTGAATCTATATTGAAAATAAGCGAACACGTGTCTGGGCGTTCTATCAAATAGGCCCTAATAACAGAGATATTAGTCTTTAAAGTTTATAACATTCTATATTACTTGATATTTATCTTAACTGGATAATTATTTCCAACAGCACAGTATAGCCCCGCTGATTGGCATCGTTCCTCGTAATGTTACGGTCCCGGAGTCGATCCGACGTTATTTGAAATTTTTTTTTTTCACTGCTTTTAATTTTATTATTTATAATTATTTCATGTTCTACGAATGTTGAAAATGAATTTAACACAAAAACTGGTTTATTAAAAACTAATATCTCTTAAAGACTAATATCTCTGTTATTAGGGCCTGTTCGATAGAACGCCCGGACACGTGTTCGCTTATTTTTGATGTAGATTCACAATGCCCAAGCTCGTCAAAATCCATGATTCTCTAACCGTGTACTTCCCTTGTGAGTATGTGCAACTATTAACATCAATTTTAGCAAGTAATTATAATTCAAACTATATCATGTTTGGTATCATTTTAATCAGAAAAATCTCACCAATGCGCTAGTAAAAGTTTCATTAAAAAGAAGTCAAAAATAAAAAAGTTTTATTATTGAATTAGTTTAGTCACACCGATACGTTTCGGCTCTTTCCTTTAATCATTAAATCTTTCTCTCTCCTGATCCTCCACTGTCTGTCTCTTTCTACGTTCACGCTTGGCTGGCGTCGGGTCGCACGTAACCCGAGAATCGACACCTCGTCTGCTTGGGTCCGAAATGCTTGGGTCTCAGTTTTTTTGCACTTATCCAGGTTTTACTGTAATGCGATTAAAATTTATTAGTTTCTATTTCCATAAAGTTTTTATTTTTTAATTTTTTAATTCGAGAAATATTTTAATAGTAAAAAGCGATTAACGACTGTTTGTAATAATTACAAGTTATATTCAATATAGTGCGTATTTAATTAAATTTTTATATTGCAATTTGCGACAAATTATAAGGCTGATACACACCTATGATATTTACAATACGATAAAATTTGAATAATCTAAAATAATTTTTTATTAAATGATACTTATTCTTTATAATTTTAATCAACGTTTTGTTATCAATCATACATGTTCTTTACTATACTTATTTGTGTTACTTGCAACAGGGAATTGTATTTATGTAAGTATTTACTTACATATTGATTCTAAGAACATCATGATGATTAATATTAGGTCAATTTGATAGGAGAAGATTATGTACATACAATATCAATCATAGTGTCCGTTTGTCTAGTGAAAAAGCACTGACTTTGGAGTCCAAGTTTAACCGCAGCAAATGTCATAAATCTAATTATTTAATAAAAGCGTTAAAGTAATTAACATAATCATCTGATAAAAGCTTTCGAATATTCAATAATTTAGAATTTCAATAATTTATTTGAAATTACAAAATACACTAGACGAACGGACACTATGATTGATATTGTATGTACATATGTTGTACATACGTATACCGGTAACCTCTTTATTTTACTTAGTGAATTACGCGCGTAAATTGCGTAGATACATATTTGTTCATTTCACGAAATAACATATCCGCTTCGCGCAAGTCAAGTAAGCTCGTACATGGCAGACAAAAATATATGAATAGTAAGAAATGATGCTAATTTAGAAAGAATACAAAATGAAAAATCACCGAGTGTGCACATTCGACATCATAACATTACCAGAGGGCGTGCGCGTTATTTTTAGTTACATAACCAATCAGAGCTGATATGCGCAGAACAAATAAAAACTTGTTAGTGAAGAGGTATGTTCTCTTGTGAAGTAAACAAAAGTTGGTTTTGGTATGTGATTGTTGCCAGTGTTTATCTATTAGATTCAATTTTGTTTTCCCTTCATTATGCCGTATAATTTAAAGTAAGTCTTAAAGTGCAAACTTATTACAATTTCAGTAACAGTTATTTCAGAGTGTACTTTATATTTCTTTTGTATAATGTAAGGCAATTAATTTTTATAACAGTCAAGTTTCTTGTAATTGAATATTTACTTAAATGTTTTTAAAACATTTTTTATAGTTTTCTTTAATTGATTTATTAAGTGATTATAAAAGTATTTATACAAATGCAGTATACTAACAGTTAGTATATTACAAATAAGAAAAAAATGTGGTTATAAATTGGCTGTTTCAGAAATAAAAACAGAGTTTGTATACCTGATAGCAGTGATTCAGATTCTAATATTACATTTTATCGAAAAGAACGATTACGACACGTTAAGAAAATAAAAAGGAACTTACAAACAATATGCGATAATGATAGTCCCATGATGACTGGATCAGATAATGATATTGCGCTTATTACACAGAGAGACAATATCAATCATATAGATATAATTAATGCAGATAACAATAAACATAAAAAGATGGGGTCTCAAATAAATATTGAGGCCAGTTCAAGTGAATCAGATATCATTGCTACGAAAGGGTTAAGAAGAAGCAGAAGGAAACGGACAAAAGTTCAAGCAGAGTATCTTTATGATTTTGACTCAGATTCATCTGCATCTTTAATGCAAAATAAAAGGAAGCTTTCGAGATCATCCAGCGCCAAGCAGCAGGCCAAAAAAAGTGGTACAATTGAAGTTGGAAGTTGCAGTCAAATAATGGAAAGTGAAAGCAACGAAAAGGACTCTGTAATTCAAAATAGAGAAAATGTCTCGAAGCCATCCAGCATGAAAAAACAACACAATAAAAGTAATACAGTTGAAGTCACAGAAGATATATGTAATGAGAAAAACTATGATGACATAGATATTATAGCTAGCTCTCCAATGGCAAATACTAAAGAAGCAAAGAACGAAAAGGAGCAAGATGATCATGTAGATTATAAACCTTACATTACAAAGGTCTTGGAAGATTCAAAGAATAGATTCACCATGTTTAAATCGCAGATCACTTATTTACAAGAAAAATTCAATAAAGATGAGGTAGTACATCTACAAGATGCCAATAACATAATATTTATGCTGACTTGCATCATCAGTAAACTGAAAGAAGAATTAACCGACCATCAACATAATTTAATGGATGCTGTCATAGAATGCCGTATGCAGAATAGTCCTAATTGTATCATTTCAAGCATGCATCATGAACGATTTCTTAATAATAATCATTTACAGGTGCAAAGGAAAACACATAGTCCCTTTAATGGTGACAAATTAATAAGCACATCAGTCAGTAGGAAACGACCGTTGCAAATAATTAAGATTTCAAGAAACATTCTACAACCAAGTGATAAAAATATAGTACCGCATATAAATCGTAAGCAAAATAATATAGAATTAGCTTCGAAAGAAAATAATTTTCTTACTTCAGTTCAAGTTGACGAAGATAACGTTACAGTACAAAATGATAAGTTTCATTTTTCCATTTATGATGAAGAAACGGTAATTGATGGCAACGAGAAAAACTTGATAGGAAATATTAGTAATATGAAAAGCAATTTGCGATTGTCAGAAGACAAGCGGAAGGATCGTCCGATAATCAAATATGACTTCTTCAAAAACATATTGAATACACAAAAATTAATGCAACTTGATAGTGATGTAGATAGTACGTGTAGTACACTGAATTTGTTTTTTTCAGAAGATGTAGATGAACCGGAGAATAATGATATTGATACAATTGATGCAAGGGACAAGACGGGAAGTCATGTTTCAGAGGTCACGTTAAATACCCTTAATAACAATAATACTCAAAAAAGATCATTGTCTCGTATAAATTCGATAGAAACCACGATACTTCCGCATCGCCCTGCAATTAATACCAAAAAAGTATTTTCCAGAGTAAAGAAAGAAATGTTCTCTACTAGTATGAGCAACGAAAATTTAATACAGGAGATTTCCAATGCAAACGATTTAAATACAAATTATCATTCGAAATATACTGATGAAAAATTACAAATGAATTGCCGAGTATTGATAGAGAAATGTAGATTATAGTTCAGCTAAGAGAAACACTATTAATAATAAGCGTTAAAGAATTGATTAAAATAATGAAAAGTATTTTTTCTTTTTTTCTGTGTACACAAAAGTCGTACATAAACACTCATATATTTTTCTATATGTACAGTAAACTCTCGCTATATTGCCTGTTGAGTAAATCCTCCTTCACAGGGATTTTCACACACATTTTTAAGTGCTGCAGAGAAAGAGCTCGTTTTATGTTGACAATTTTAAGAATTTTCCGTTTCTACCGGCAATATAGTGAGAGTTTACTGTAACAAACATGTATGTAAGAATTTTTGTATGTTCTTCTAACATTATCTTATTTTTGTTTTGTAAGCTCTTCCAGAAGCTAAATATACAATAGATTTAATATAACATTTCAGAGGAAGTAATTGATTGCAGTGAAATTTATTAAATCTACCCCCCGTGAGATAAACCATTGCACCTCACAACGTAGATCTACCGCCTTAGACACACAAAGGCTCTAGCCGTATAGGCCTAGTGAATCGGCCCCAGCAACAATTTCGGTTGATATTTATACCACATAATGCTTTTTGCTTAAACAACAATTGTGTGCAATTTCAACCCCCTACCCCCTTTGATAAGGGAGATATGAGGGTAAAACCCCAAAACTTTACTATTTTTTTTCTCGGAAACTATGTAAGATATTTGAACACATTAAAGTGCAAATAGTAGGTATTCATTAGCTGTATTTCATATTTTTTTTCAACATTTTTATCCGATGATTAAGGGTTGAAAATTAATAAATAAATTTTTGAAAGTGACTTTTATAAACAATCCCTTGAGTGACACCCGCCGAAAAAATTAAGAATAATCCTTTACTATTTAACTATTATCTGTAAAAGTTTCAAGAGTGTCGGATTGGTACATCATAGTAAAAAAAAAATAAAACCAATGCAACGCCCTTTCATGAGGCAAAGCCAGGCTGAACGTTAGAGGCGCTCAACCTAACCGACCTATAGGGGAATACGTTGCGCCGCGCCGCGCCGACTCGCCGCGTTTCTCATACCAGAAATAGCTCTCAGAAAAGTATGAACTCTTCTTTCCCTAAACTGTGTGTTAGTGTGTTAGTGTGTTCGTCGCTATTTTCATCAATAACTGGAATAATGTTAGTTTTATCAAATAAGTGAGTTAAAATTTATAACATAATTAACCCTTTTCAGGGCGCCCATATACTTAAATCGAGGAAGACCTTAGTTACAACTATTTACAGGTACCAGCTATAATTTAATTAAAAGTAATACGTACGTGAAAAGGTAAAGACGGAAATAGTTATAGAAGCCTATGTTCTTTACAACGTTGAATAGAATGATATTGCAGTTATACCTGTGATATTTTCTTCGATTATTAAAAGGAGAACTAATGGCACCTAACATAGTGCCATTGTTCAAGACATGATATAAATCTGTGATTTAGGGCTCTCATATATTTAAAACGAGGAACGCCGTGAAAACACGGACACTGAAAGTTAAGATCAGAAAATTTAATTAAAAAATTTAAATTGTTAATATATTATTTAAATAAATAACTGTTAACTAACACACAGTTTAGGGAAAGAAGAGTTCATACTTTTCTGACAAGGAAGGGTTTTTAGGTGTCCGCCTCCGATTGTTTTGATTTTTGGATAGGTTTTAAAGGACCGAAAAATAAGGTATACGTATTTTCTTATTTTTGCCCGTTTTCATATTTAGGGGGTGAAATGACCTCCTAAAGTTTCGGCTACAATAGGCTATCTCGGAAACTATCATAAATAGAAGAAAACTTTCGAAGGAAAAGTTTCATGGCTTTTTATGAACATATAACAGCTAGTCATAAATTTTGTAAAAAATAATTTGTTTATAACATTATTTTAAAAGTAATCACAATTTACATAATAACAAAAAAGAACAAATTTGTTTCTGAATCCATTGACGTATTATATTGACGTTTATTTTTATTGTCTTTTTTATTAAAAATGTGTGTTCGCATGTTGAATTATTTTGTGAATTTATATAAAGTTATTTTTAAGCATTTTCGTCAGCGTTTTTCTTTTCACCGTGTAATTTTAACAATCGAATTGTTCAGGCCCTGATTCGAAAAGAGACGTTTCGTGGTTTTGACGATGTGTGACAGCGGCGTTCGAAAGCGTTGAACCGTACCTTTCTTTTGTACCGATATATGTGGCTCATAACGAGCCGCGAACGACTATTATTAGCAAGGTGACCAAGCCACGCGCAAGTATAGAAAAATAAATTACTTACGTAGAATTCAAATAACGTATTTTTCATGTTTTCAATCATTGGATACGCGCGATCGCGTATTGTCAACATGAATATTATGCAGTTTTTTTAAATTTGTTACCCATCCTCTGCTGGCTTTGATTGCCGATATTTGCAGATTTTTTCCAAATTCTGCAGCTTTTCCCATCATCAATACATCTGGCATTATATCGTCAACAGCTTGTTTTTCCACGTACCATGTATACAATTTATGCACCAACTCTTCGTACTTTATAATGTTCACTGCTGTGCATCAATCGATTTATACGTTGCTTTGTTCTTCTTATTGTGCACATTATACTTTGCTGCAATTGTAGAAACAGCTATACCACTTTTCAGTTGTTCAATAATTTGCTGTTTCTGTTTTATTGTTAATACCTATTACATTAGATTTCCTAAAAGCCATTGTAACCACTAATTAACCACACGTATTAGGATCAATATCTACTAATGTCAGTTATTACTATACTATGCAGTAACTGAAGCTAATGTCACTAACACTAATTACACTGTCACTAATAAACTATAAGAACTAAAGCCACTATAATAATAACAAATAATATAAATGTAATAAAAATGAATAGAATAGTATACGTGATATAATAAACAAAAAAAATGAGTAACTATAAAACTGTCAAAATGTTGGCTGAACTTGTAGATGAGCTACTCCTCCTCCGATTTTGATAATTTTTAAATACGTTGCAAAATTCGTCATTTTAAGCAACTTTTTTCCTCTAAGCTATTATGTCGGACTCCATTAGTTTGCGGAATATTCGCGAAAGAATATTGTTACAGTAAAACCTGGATAAATTCAACCAAGATTGGGACCCAGTGGTTGCGTTTACCTAAGCACGGTATCGAAGCTCGGATGACACGCGACGACCAGCCAAGCGTGAACGTAGAAAGGGACAGACAGTGGTGGAAAGAGAGAGGTCCGAAATCAAAGGAAAGAGCCGAAACGTATCGGTGTGACTAATACTAATTGAATCAAAAAACTTTTTTATTTTTGACTTTGTTTGAGTGAAACTTTTACTAGCGCATTGGTGAGATTTTTGTGAGTAAAGTGGTACCAAACATGATATAGTTTCAATTATAATTACTTGCTAAAATTGATGTCATAAGATGGCGAAAAGCAAGAAAGATCGAAATCCAAACCAGTCGCGGTGTCGGCTTTGGTTTCAAAGGTTTCATTTATCCTAGCGAGGAGTCGATTCTGGGCATTTAATGTTTCATTTATTCAAGCGAGGAGTCGATTCCGGGCATTTAATGTTTCATTTATCCAAGCGAGGTGTCGATTCTGAGTTCGTACACATGTTTTCTTTGCAGCCGACATGCCGATTCTGTGTCCGTACACATCTTTTGTATTCAGCCGACATCATTTATATCCAGTCGTGATGTCAATTCTATGTTGTTTATTCTATTACTATTGTTTATAAATATAATTCAACCTATATCGAGTTTGGTATCATTTTAATCAGAAAAATCTTACAAATGCATTAGTAACAGTTTCATTGAGAAAAAGTTAAAAATAAAAAAGTTTTATCGTTGAATTAGTATTAGTCACACGGATATTACGGTCGGATCATATTACACGGTTTCCTCGTCGAGCGGCTCGGTTCGCCTAGGGGGATCCCCCCAAGTGGAGGGGATAGCGATGTTTCATTTATCCAAGCATTCTTTCGTTGAATTTATCCAGGTTTTACTGTACTATTACAGCGAATTCTGCCTATACGTATGTGCCATGTATGCGCTGGCTCTCTTGCCTACCGTTTCTGTACGCAACAGCGTGTGGTCCGGCTCTTAATCATACAACGGGTGAGCTGAAAAATCAAATTATAACATTTGACTCGCGTGACCGGCCACCCAAGGGAGGCCGGAATATTAATGTAATCTAACCTAACCTACCCTAACCTACACGTATAAGTAACAGAAAAATAAAATACTGTTACTTACATATCCAATTAGGTCTACCTATACGTATAAGTAACAGAAAAATAAAAGGCTGTAGTTCCGAATAGCCCCGGTGGCCGATCGACATGGGCTTTGGAGGGAGGAGAGGGGGGAGGGAGAAAACCCCAAATATAAAACGGTATCCACATCAGACCAGTAGTTCCGGAGATATTAATTAAAAACTTTCGCAGAATACATAGAATTTTGCCTATACAGACATGACTAACACAACCATCCCCGCTGTAGAAACCGTGGTCGTCAAGCGTCAAGCAACCGATGGCACAGTAGGGGATCTCGACCTGGGTATCTACAGGGTGTCGTATATGTATAAAGCGCATTATTTTGTAAACTGTGGTTCACGTTTACATTAATCTCGTCGTTTTACTCGTTTTGATATGCTGAATACGAATACGATTTTTGTTTTTAATGGAAATAACAAGCTGCCGAAATATTCGCAAACAACTTTACACAGAATTTTACCCAATAATGTAAGGCACATGTAAGGCGAATTTGCCAGTTATACATATACGAACAGAAGGTAACACTTTGTTCGTCTACGAATATCAAACCGTAGTAGGTTAGGTTAGGTTATATTCTCCGTGGCGGGGGTGCCGGGGAAGGGGCAAAGCCTAAAACACAAGAATAATTACTTTAAATACAATGGTACAATGATCACAACTGAATGAGACACCCTATAGATACTCAGGTTGAGACTCCCTACTGTGTCATCGGCTACTTGACACTCGACGACCACGATTTCTACAGCGGGGATGGTTGTGTTAGTCACGTCTGTATAGGCAGAATTCTATGTATTCTGCGAAAGTTTTTAATTAATATCTCCGAAACTACTGGTCTGATGTGGATACCGTTTGATATTTGGGGTCTTCCCCCTCCCCCCTCTCCCCATCCAAAGGGGGACTCCCCCCTCCGCCGGGGCTATTCGGAACTATACCCAAATAAAATACTGTTACTTACATGTCCAGATTAAGTTAGGTTAAGCTATATTAATATTCCGGCAGCCTTTAAGTAAATAATTTCATATTATTGAAATTAACTAAATTTAATTTTAAGCTCACCCGTTATATGAATGGTAGTCGGGCCATGTGGTGCTATTGACAGAAACATTAGAGAAGCGAGGGTCGCTTGCCGACGCACACACAGCCGCGGACGTATAGTACGTGCAGGCGAAATTCAATGTAATACAGGGTGATCCTCTCGCTACGCTACCCAAAAGGAAGTGTCGCCACAATAGAATGTAGAAGTCGACATCCCATTTCTGTCATCGCTTACTTGACGGAGGTGGCCCCTGCAGCGAATACGGCTGTGTGCGTGAAAATGTGTTAAGAAAATATTCTGTTTAAATGGGACTCTTCTGCTCATTACACACATTTTCACGTACACAGCCGTCTTCGCTGCAGGGGTCAAGTAAGCGTTGACAGAAATGGGATGTCGACTTCTACATTCTGTTGTGGCGGCACTTCCTTTCGGGTAGTGTAGCGAGAGGATCACCCTGTATAAATTGAGGCTCCCGAATGGGTATTCCCCTATTGTACCAGCTATCTATTAATTCCGGTAACATGCAGAATAAATAAAATTGAATTAACTTCGGCTGCATATTGTTTTGCCAAAAGTTATCATCTCTATCAACTCTAATGTAATTTAACCCTTTTTAGGTCCAGATACAAAATAAGCAATATTTTCTACCTGTGACATGTAATTGTCCTTGTACCTGGTAGTAATAATAATGGTTGTTGTTTAATGTGTTTCCTTCTGCATCTGCAAATATACGGCGAATAACTGCAACACTTTTGATTGCCTCCTCCGGCAATAAATTCTCCGCCGTTTTCGGACATTTGATTGCCACAATGCCCTATTCGTCTATAAGTCCATCTGGTAAAGCTCTTAAGAACGGGATGGCAGTATCAATGAATAAGCTACATTCTTTAATTTTAACACCAATGCACGCACTTAGTTCTTCACGGGCGAATTTTTCGCATTCTTGTCCGTATTGTACTGCAGGAGCACTAATTAGTCGTAGATAGACAAATGACTTCACTGAATTTGCACAGAACGTGCCAATCCGCAGACAGCATATTCGTCCAAAATTAAAGGCCGTCAATAGTTTTGATACATAAAAATACCATCTAGAATTTTTCGCTTAACCGATGATTTCTTTTTCAATGGCATCTCTTCTATGTTGCCAATTCTGCAACATTTCCATATGTTTTTTCTGCTCTAATTCGTAAATATTCTTGGCCATATCTGGCTTTTGAGCGTTCGGTCCGTAATTCGAATCTTTTTCCGAATGGAATTGTTTCCGCACGTGCTTCGTAATCTTTTTTTTTCCTTTATCTTTTCAGCGTACTTCTCATTTTCTTTCTTTCTTCTATTTTCCATTTTGCGTAAAATAACGGGCAGTTTCTTGTTCATCGCCATATTCAGACACCACAACACTTGTTTTGTGTTATATTGTAGGACAGCAGCAGCACATCTTCCCGTGTAAGATCCTCTCTCGCCGAAATTCAATCTTTTTTCTCCTGTATATTTGGCGATGATTCCGTTAAAACTTTCGACTGTATTATTATTGCTATTATAAAGCAAACTCTCAGCATGCGCCAACAAAAGTCGAAGTATTTCTTTAATGTGTTCATACACTCCCATCTTCATCAATTCTGGAACAATGTTCTTTTCATCTCTTTTACTTGTTCTATCGCAGAAGTATTGCAGTTTTGAACAATTTGCGTGTTCACTAAAAACGTGGCTAGGATTATTGTGAATGTCGGGATACAAATTTTTAATTTTCTCAGCGGTTGTTACGTGCTGACTGACTGTACCTGAACTCTGCGGCTTTTACTATGTCCGCACGCATTCGTCGAATACTGCTCTCAACGATTCTTCTCAATAGACCTGGTGTTGTATTCTTTACAACTTCTTTCATTTTTTTGCAAAAGTTTCGCAACAAATGATTCGTGCATTCAATTTTTTTTACACGATTCTGCATTTTATACGGTTCTGCTTCTATAATTTTTTTGTAAACGCCGCTGTCCCTATCAGCAATCAGCGTTGAATAATTAATCCCACGTTTTTCTATGTTGGTCTTGAACCCTTCGACTATAGCGTTACTTTCCATAGCCGTTAATGCTTGGCTTGTGCTCCAATTTTTGAAACAGGTGGGCATTCGTAGCTCTTCTTTCTTTTTCGCAGCACATCGACAAATCTTGCACACCTTGTTTCTCACGGCAATAAATAAAACTTTCTTTGTGTGATATCTAATTATAACGCCGACTCCAGACGCGGAATCGTACGTTCCAGTCCGGTATGACCTTTTCATCCGGCTTCCCTCAACCACAACGGGAACGTGAGGAATTCCAAATCCGGAAACAATATCGCCTCTTTCAATGGCCGCTTCTTCTTCTGCTGCTGCTACCATCTCTTCTTCTGCAGCAACAATTAGTGCTTTCACGATTTGATCATGATGCTTTCTGGATTCTTTCTTCGACATGGAGGGTATGTTCATTGCTGCAAGGAACTCCTCCATTTGGGCATAACTGCCTCCATTCACAATTGTTCCAGCAACGGCACACTGGTTGGTTTCCATTTTATTGTTTTTGTCAGGTTCACTGTGGATTTCACCTTTATATTTGCACATGTCGCATATTACACTGAGGGTGGTCCTCAGACCCGACCGTTTCATGCCGGTTATTTTCAGGTGTCTAATTCCACAGTCTTCCCTGTTTTTAGCATAGTCACCTATTTTTTGAAATTCGGCAAAGATGTGCTGCACGTCCACGATACTCAAGCCACTTGGTAGACAGGATTGTTCTTTAGGCTCGTTCGTTACAGTTTTCTCTATGATCAATTCTTCATTTTCGGAAGTTGTACCTTCTACATTTAACCCATCTTCTGTATTGTCCGTTTCTTCAATTTCAAACAATTCTTCCATCGTCTCTTCAAAAATTTTTTTTGTATTTGCCGTATTCTGAAGGGCTAACCGCTGCCTTCTTTCGTGGCATGCTCTTTTTTTCAAGTATCTTCTCGTATGAACTGTTAATTTTGGCCGACAACTTCTATTTTCCATCACACATTGATGTTCGCACTCATTTCTCCGATCTTCAATCACGCGAACATTTTCAACATCACTAATTGTCACAACAATTCACTTGTCACTTTAATCAATTTATTGCACGCTTTCAAAACTCTGGAATAAATTGAACGGTACAATTTATTTCTTGCTTCAAATACAACTGTCGTGAAGACGTAAAATGCACAACGGTGAAACATAGGGCATCATGGTGGGGAGTGTTTCTAAGGACTACGAAAAATAAAGAACAATGACGTCGATATTTATTTTAAAAAAAAGTTTTTAAGTTGTATTCATTTATAATATTATGATTTGAGATTATAAGAAAAAAATATGACATGAAAATAAAAATTCAATCCGTAAAATTAGAAATTAGAAATTAGGAAAGGGTCTATTTTATAAAACAGTGAACACGGTCCTGATCCCAACCACCATTCGAGTGGTTTCAGCATCAACGACAAAAGACAATCAGACTGCAAAATGTCGGAAGTACTTAGAATATTATATCATTAATATTACGTTATTTATATATAAATTACTTTCTTTACAAATGAAAGTGGACACACAAGAAGAAAAGAAAGAAAAGAAAGAAGAAATAGAAAAGATAAAAGGTTAAAAAGAAAGAAGAGGAAAAAAAGAGAGGGGAGGAAAAGGAAAAGCTGTCGACGTCGCAAGTAAGTAAAAACGTTGATTTTTCTATGTAATAAATGTGGCAGACTTAGATTTACGTGAAACGGAAATCATTTCTACAATAATAGCAAATGAATTTCCACGATTATTTTTTGTTTTCTAATAACGTCACAATTATAGTAAAATTCATTACTATATTTCAGATGAAAAAGCTAATTAAAAAATTTATGTACGGAGGACGTCGCGGCGGCCGCTGTAGAGGAAGAGGAGGACGACACGACGGGGCGGCAGAAGAGGTGGTGGTGGTGGTGGCAGGCGACCCGTCTTCGTTAATATTTATTAATGAAAAAGAAAAATAAAGAATATAAACTATTACATATCTCTTTATTTCTTATTCCCTTCGTAGCGGATCTCTGGCGAATAATCGCAACGAGAAATCGAAAAATCGCGAAAGAAAACCGATGTCGTTCCGCGCGACAAAACACAGTCCGTCTCGCCAAGCCATCGGTATCGTCATCTTGCTTTCTCACTTGCACTCGCACGCATTACGCCGTCCGCGCGATCAACTGTTACCGGCAAGCATCGGCCGCTGATTCTTTCTTTTCTATTTATAGACGCGTTTAGAATTAGTGTAATGTATAAGTGTACTGTAAGAGTTAGTCAATAGTTTTAAGTAAAACTGTTGCATCCTCAATATCTCCGCTTCACCTTCTTGAAATTATTAATGTCCTGTAGTTTTCATTCCCATAAGTTTTATGGTCGCGTACCTTATGTGTATTATTTCATTCTTGCTATCTCTCTTTCGTTCGCGCTGTCCTTTTCTATGTCCGGCAAGAATCAAAATCTCGTCAGTAAATGATAGATAAATAGGAATACAAACAGCACATTTATATTGCCTTCTATGACTTTTTGCATATAGAATATGCGAAATATTGCGAAATGTGCAAGTTTTATAATTCATGCAATTATCGAGACGAAAAATCAATTTTACGAAATTGAGTGTCTCTTTCGCGCATGGCGTATACGTGCATGCTTTCTATTGATTGTGTGAGTGCATGCATACAGGTCATGGCACAAGGAGTCTGTGCCCTTAAGCCGGGTATCCACTTGTATCAAACGCCCGTATCGTATCACCATTACGTATCCACTTGAAGAGATAAGCGATGTACAGTAAAACCTGGATAAATTCAACCAAGATTGGGACCCAGTGGTTGCGTTTACCTAAGCACGGTATCGAAGCTCGGATGACACGCGACGACCAGCCAAGCGTGAACGTAGAAAGGGACAGACAGTGGTGGAAAGAGAGAGGTCCGAAATCAAAGGAAAGAGCCGAAACGTATCGGTGTGACTAATACTAATTCAACTATAAAACTTTTTTATTTTTGACTTGTTTTTAATGAAACTTTTACCAGCGGATTGGTGACATTTTTCTTATTAAAATGATACCAAACACGATATAGTTTGAATTATAATTACTTGCTAAAATTGATGTTAAATGTTGGCGAAAAGCAACAGAGATCGAAATCAAAACCAGTCGCGGTGTCGGCTCTGGTTTCAAAGGTTTCATTTATCCAGGCAAGGTGGCGATTCAGGGCATTTAATGTTGCATTTATCGAAGCGAGGTGTCGATTCTGGGCATTTAATGTTGCATTTATCCAAGCGAGGTGTCGATTCTGGGCATTTAATGTTGCATTTATCCAAGCGTGGTGTCGATTCTGCGTCCGTACACATGTTTTGTATTCAGTCGACATGCCGATTCTGTGTCCGTACACATGTTTTGTATTCAGTTCACATGCCGATTCTGTGTCCGTACATATCTTTTGTATTCAGCCGACATCATTTATATCCAGTTGTGATGTCAATTCTATGTTGTTTATTCTATTACTATTGTTTATAAATATAATTCAAACTATATCATGTTTGGTGTCATTTTAATCAGAAAAATCTAACAAATGCGTTAGTAAAAGTTTCGTTAAAAAAAAGTTAAAAATAAAACAAGTTTATCGTTCAATTAGTATTAGTTACACCGATATTACATTCGGATCATATTACACGGTTTTCTCGTCGAGCGGCTCGGTTCGTCTAGGGGGATCCCCCTAAGTGGAGGGGATAGCGATGTTGCACTTATCCAAGCATTCTTTCGTTGCATTTATCCAGGTTTTACTGTACCATTAAATAGGGAAAATAGGGCAAAACTACCCTCTCGGTTGAGATACAGGGTTGAAACTTGGTGTACAACAGTTTTTTTTGATAAGTTATAAAATGATGTATCGCTCAATAAAATCGGCTCAAGGGCACTTCTGACCATCTTATCCTGCTATACCCTTTCTTAAAGTGGCTTTTTAAGCAGAGACAGAAACAGCCTAATGGTCTCTTCTTAAATATCGTTTGAATTAATCAATATTCTGCCCAAATGCTTTAATACTTTTTTATAAAGCATAACAAGATGTAGGTATCGATTGACGTTTAAAGAAATATACAATTCCATTTAAAAAATTGAAGGTGACCTTGAAATCTTTGAAATGCCTTCATCTTCAAAATCAATACATACATCATGTGATGCTCCATTTCCTGTCTTACATTATTTTAGAGTTATAGCTGGCCTACACAACTGAAAAGTTAAAATGACGTTCATAACAAACAATTCATATTGTACGTACCTGGACGACACGACAGTTAAATCTGGCGCTACATTCGACGTAGCCGCATCGCCAATGCTTCCGGACAAGATTAACGATGTCCCTGTACCGAGTTCCAGAAGCAGCCGCGGGTGACAATTCGTCTTGCTTGTTTCCAACTACTAGCAATGGTACACCCCTCATGTCTCGTGCTTCGTAGATTTGCTCTCGTAACGTTCTAATGTACTGCGATGTCAGAAATGAAAATTTTCTTTTATAATCAGTTGCATGAGGGGAGGAATACCTGTGGAAAATAATAGTAATATTCTAAGGTACTTAGATAAAATTGTACGGGTACAAGAAGGTATAGACAAATCTGTAAAAGGAATTCAAGTAAATGCAAAAATTGCATTAACTTGTTAATTCTTATTATTATTGAAGAGAAATACCTAATTTTTAATAAATGGAAGATGAATCTTTTAGGGTCGATTCAATAGACTGATTGCATTTTGACTCATAATTAAAATATTAATTACATATGAGTGTTATACATAAGTGCATACATGTACGTAGCATGGAGATTGACCGAGTAGGACAAAATATTGGAACGACATTACCTGAATAGAATATAATGATGTTTAATTTAACTGGACTATGCATGAACAAACAGGAAGAGAGATTGTAAACAAATCAGGTGACCGTTTTCCGACGTCTGTCTTAAAAAATTACGCATCTTGTAATGCAACCAATGCCGAACCCCAGAAGTACGTAAGTACAGTACCGAGCATGGTAGGCTTCTCTAGGGAAAATGGCGATATCCTAGGCTCCTTCCCTCCCATACGCTTTTCGGCTTCCGGGACTCCTGACCCTTACCGTAGGCCTTGCCTTCCCTTCCCCGGACTCTTGGTCCACTCCGAAGGCGGTTCTAAGAAAAGTGACGATGTTTGAGAGGATAACAGGTGGGACAAATTTTAAGAAATGATTCTGGGGGTTAAAATAAAACGAAAATCAAGGATGACAGAATAGCATTGACGGCTGTTTCTTAGTTCTGAATGTTAAACGATTCGAGTGAAAAGCACTTAAAACCGGCAATCTACAGAGCACCGACGACTGAACGTGGGGTCAGTAGCGGCTTGTATAATCACAGCCAACAGTCATTGAGTACTAGAAGCTTATTACGTGCTATTGTGTTAATTTTTGTTACAATATGATATGAAGTGCTGACAAATCGTTGCCTAGCATAAAACTCTTTTTTTTAAATCTCGGAGGAAATGTTATAACGCATACCGTACTTATTAAAATTAATACGGGATTGTCAATTGTTCGCACGTCACATTAAATACTGTAGCATCAAGGAACAGAATAGCACGCAGTAAGCTTCTATAAAAAAGGCCTACAGGGTGTCCAATGACTACGTGAGCAATATTAGAGGGATGATTGACAATGTGATTCTAAACAACATTTTCCTTTGCCAAAATGTTGACGAACGCTCTGTTTTCGAGTTATTAACAAAAAATACTGGCTAATCAGAGCGCGCCTTTAGCGCGGGCCGAACCAAGAGAGTGTTGGGTTTGTTCTGCGTTCAGCCACAGTATAGGAAAGAACAGTAGGATCACTCTGCCAAAAAGCGTACTAATAATTGTCGCCCGCGCATGGCCGAATCGCACAACCAACAATATGGCGGCTGTGAATATATATGATAATAGTTTCTTGCATTTTAACCTCTGTTACTTCTAAAACATTCCTGTTGCGATAAAATTCAGTGAATTTTATACAGAGATATAAAATATGAGTGAAAGAGGTGGATACCGTTGTTCCTTTAAAGGGTGCCAAAGTGCAAGCAGTCACAGCAGTAACAGGCGTTCTGGGTCATCCTATATTTTATATCTGTCAAATGATATTTATCCAACGTTTCTTGTACATTTTGGATATAGACATTATTATTATTATCATCATTGTTTTATCAAAATATTACCAATTTATGGGTTGTTTATTAATTTCTAAGATATGCTGTTGTCACGTAGACAGACCGTTTTTATCAAACGTGTCTCCTTTCAAATAAGCTTAAACATCTGGAAAGGAAAACTCTCGGGCAAACCGACCATTTACTCTCGTAATAAACAGAAGGCCCACCGATAGCAGAACCAAACACTTGGGAAAGCAATGGGTCCGCCGTAATCAAATAGCAGATGCAACCACTCTAAACTGTCGCAGAGGCAGGTGGACCCAGCCTGATCACTCGAATAGTAACCAGACCACCCTTCTTAATTAGTATATAAACCCGTTCGTACCAACGATCGGGGGCAGTACCAGAGTTCATCTCGTGTCGAGCACGTCGTGTACGGTAGTGAGTTGGTTACTATTAGTGAGATCGGGTTGAAGTCCCCTTCGAGCAACATTCACCTTATAGAATCCGCGAGTCGTGTTTCTATTTGGCATTACAATCAACCACACACAACACCCCCGCATTGCCAGTGCGTGAACACCGAGCATAGTGGAAATAGGTAATATATCACATTATACACCTATATTCGCGACAACAACATCTGTAATAGACCAAGATTGTAGAATATATACATTGCTGTGTCAAACCCACATTAGCATTCTCCTTTAAACCCAGTGAAACCTTGTGACAGTTCCTACCACAATACAATCTTACCGCTCGGGTTGTATTGATAATAAAATAAGTTACGCGGCCGCCAATCAGAAAGCCTCTGATAGCCACGCGCGCTGCCAAGCCGTCGGCCACGTAACAGAACTGGTGACAGCGGTGGGATATAGTCACATAGATCATTTTCACTGGCATAATTACTTTCGTGGAATTTGACACACGGCTATTACTTTGTTGAACAACGATTGTATACTAGTTTTCCTAGTCAATCGGGTAACAAGAGGTATATACTAGTTTTCCTAGTTACATTCTTTAACCAACAAATTCATTCAACATGGCGAATGAACAAGCCAATATTTCTTCAGCCGATCTTATGAACTTAACAGTTTCGATCGCAAATTCTATGACACTTTTGACACAAAGATCCTGCATACAAAATGTTGCGTTAACAATACCAACATTTGATGGTGAGAATCCACCTTTATCACGTTTTGCACAACTGGTAGAAGATGGATTGACCTTGATTCCTGAGGGAACAGAAAGGGAATACCTTACAATTATTTTAACTAAACTCACCGGTCCGGCGCGAAGAAGTACTTTAGAACATCAATTCACTTCGGTATCCGCGTTGATCAAGCATTTGAAGAGAAGATTTGGACCAGGAAAGAGCTTATCGCAATTTCAAACAGAAATTGCCAGGCTTCAAATTAGGGAATACGAAAGTTTGAGAAACTACATCGATAGAACAAGCCATCTTGTTTATTGTACAAGAGGAGCGATTAAAGAGAAATATCCTAGACATTCAGAGGAAAATATTAAACAAATGGAAATGGATATTTTAGAAAATTTCCTAGATGGATTACCAGACCGCATCTCTTTTAAGGTATCAGCACAAAATAGAGACATTAAAAACTTAGAGGAAGCTTTTGACGCTGTGCTAGAGGTAGACAGGAAATTAAGAAGTCGTCGTGATTTGGCACGAAACACATCACCAGGAGGCTGGAACAACAGGGATCACCACAGCAACGAACGTCGAAATGAAATTTCATACCCTCAATCTCCAACACGACACGATCGATATAGAGATCGACAGAGGAGACCATCTAACTCTGAAGACGAGAGAGAAGGACGACCACGTACATCAGCATGGACTGTGCGATCCAGGAATCAATCGAATTCACCTTCTTATCGTTCAAATTCACCACGCACAGATCAAGATGAAAAACGGTTTACAGCTTTAAAACGCAGTGAAAAGGATGATACTTCGCAGCTATATTGTTGGCGATGTGATACCCAAGGACACGATGAAAAACGTTGTAGGAGGAATTCGCAAAATTTCAGACAGCGATCATACTCTCGAAATTCTTCAGTCGAATCAAACAAGTCTTTAAACTCAGAAAACGCTCAACGGAAAGGCGAGGCGGTGAGCGATCTGCAAAGACCTCGCCAAAAGATAGTCAGATTCACGGGAGAATCCTCATCAAGGAAACCCCAGCACCAAGAATAAAAATCAAAGTTCCGGAATTAGAATTAGAAACAGCTGAATTTTTAATTGACGGTGGCGCGGCAGTTAACTTAATAGTGCGCGATGTTCTCGGAGATCAAGCCAAACGTATCACTAAAGAAGTTATTGAAATCACAGGACTTACAAAATCACCTATTTATAGCATAGGAACCACAATTCTTCACATTCACGGTAAGCCTGCATTATTTTACGTAGTAGAGAACCTTGCAATAGAAGCCGATGGAATTATAGGCAGCCCATTTTTATTACAAGAAGAAGCAGAAATTTCATATTATCATGGAACACTAGTATTGAAAGATAAACCTATTCGACCACTTCGTTTTTCAAATTACCGAGATTTAGCTCAGCAGAAAAATCCGAAATCGACTAAACACCGTATCGAAGCTCGAACAACAAAACAAATTGCAATTCACATAGCTAATCCAAATATTAAAGAGGGATACTTACCGCGACTCAAAACATCAGAAAATATATACATTGGCGAAGCAGCAGTATATAATCGTGACGGCATTTGTTACGCGTTAGCAACGAATACCGGAGAAGACGATGTAGACATCGAAATTGAACCTCAATACATTCATCCTTACGATATTTACGACTCGTCGGACGACGACCCAATTTCTTCATATATGACCGAAAACACACCAGAAAATAGAGCAACACGAATTAGAAATCTTTTAAGAACCGATCATCTCAATGCAGAAGAACGTAAACATGTATTCAACATCGTCGACGAATTTTCAGACAGATTTTACTTGCCTGGAGACAAACTAGGAGAAGTACCGAATTTTTACCATTCAATTCATACAACGGATGACGTACCGATTAATACAAGACAATACCGATATCCACCAGTACACCAAGACGAAATACAACGTCAAGTAAAGGCTCTGTTATTACAAGGAGTCATACAGCCATCTAGTTCACCATATAATTCTCCGTTATGGATTGTACCAAAGAAACCAGACGCTAAGGGCAATAAGCGTTGGCGTATGGTAATCGATTTCCGAGCCTTAAACGAAAAGACTTTGAGTGATAAATTTCCTTTGCCGAATATCACCGAAATTCTAGATAAATTGGGAGGAGCAAAATATTTCACAATTTTTGATA